AACATGTGCGGTTTGGTTGAAATCTTCCAAGACTCAACGTGGTTAGATTGCATGTCCGGAAAGGAAGTAGACAGTTAAAACCGATTGCCACTTGGGCTGAGAAGGATTGAAACAAGGAGGAATGAATCATTAAATAATGAGGCTCTCCAGCTTCAGTAAAGAAGATAGTAGGAGACTAGAAAAAGGTAATACCAGAAACCTCCACTCATACTGAGAAATTTTAATTCATTGTTGAGATTTCATTAATTAAACTACGACCTATTAGTGAAGTCATTATGTTCCCTTTACTCCACCTAAAACCCTCCCCACTTATCCTGATGAATGGCCTTGCCTTTCAAGATTTTTTTTGTTAAGTTATTTGATTAGTAAAGATGGAAGTTGGTAAAAATTACATTTTACATATTTTGTCATGCCTCTTCACTTGTGTAATAGTCGGTTTAGATTTCGTTCAATAATAGGTCGTAGTACTATCGAGTATGCTTTATGTTGGTGTGATAAGTCGTCATCAGAGCATCTTTAATGTTTTACTCCATTTTCTACTCCAAAAGAATATTTCTAATATATTATATTTTATGTTTATTTTAAAATTAATAATATCACTTTTCACTTATACTATTTTCAAAACAGTTCATTTTCAATTTATAGCTTTTTTATTAAATATAATATTAACCACAATTAAAATTTTATTATATAAATAAAACTACTTAACAAGGTTTTAAAAGGTTTTAAAAGAAAACATTTAGTACATTAAAAATTACATTACATAGCTTAAACACAATAATACATCAATTCTAAATTATTCATTAGAATTAGAATAGTTTTTGTACAAATAATCAACTAATGCATTTTGAAGTAAAAATGAGCTTTTTTATGTTTGATTTTTCTGAAACGAGAAAAAAACTCTTGGAACCTCACATTATTAAAATGAGGGTATTTATATAATTAAAAAAATGTTAACAGTAAAATTTATAATATATATAGTAAAATAATACTAATATACTTATTATAATAATATTTTATTAAAAACGAAACATATATAAATATGGAGGACCATTTGATAAATAAAAAAAGTTCAACTTCATTTTGGAGTAATGAGTTGGTTTACTTCATACTAGGATTAGACCCGCGCCTTGCGCGGGATGAAATGATTAAATTTGTTGTATTATTGAAGATAAGATCAAGACATTAAATCTGTTTTATTTGGATATTAGTTTGTTTTGGAATGGTTGTTTCGGGTTTTAATATCGTCCAATTATATATCTATATTTTAAATATTCATTTTTGGTTAAATTGCGATTGTGATTTAATGGTGATAACACAATGACTAAAATTAATTATTTAGTGTCATCTTATATCAAATCAAATTTATTGTAAAATATAAATAATTATTTCATTCAAAATATTTCATTAAATATTTTTAACCAAATAAAACACACCTATTTACTCTTCTCTACTATTGATTTGCAAGAATGATGGAGTTAGTGGTTTTGTTAACTAAAAAAGCTCAGGTCCTATGAATAACCCGCACCTTGTATGGGATGAGATAGTTAATTTCGTTATTTTTTATATAAAAAAAAATACTAGGTATGCTTAATTTGTATATCAGTTCGATTTTATGTTTTTTTAGTCTATTAAAATATAACTATCATTGGAATCCATTATTTATTAGGTTTAGTTATGATAAGCGTTCTCGCATATTTCGTTTTTGGTGATAAAACATAAATTTTATTATTTGTTTGGTTCCATATTATATGAATTTATACAGTTCTGATATTGATCTAATGTATCATTCTATAATTTCCATATACTCATATTTATTATTTTATATAAAATTGTTTATTTATACTCATAGAAATTATTTTTTAAGAGTTTAATAATATTAACGTAGTAATAGTATTTTATGTAATTGATTTTATTAGTAATTTTTATTATATTAGTTTTTTAATTTCCTTTTAAACTTAGGCAATTAGATTTCTTAGTGGTTATTGAAAAAATACAGAAAATAATTTCTACACAAATGGGTATAGGTTTTAAAGCGAACATACATTAATCAAAAATAGGACGTATGTCAATGTGTTTCTCATTTGATATGTGACCTTTTACAAAAAAAAATTTTAGTCAAAGAGATTAAGAAAAAAAAATTACCTTCTCCCCTCTTACCTACTGCATCTAGATGAAGAATGAAGAGAAATCGTTCGGAGGCTGATACAAACAAAATACATATCAGCCAGAAGCCTGTGAACTTCAGATGCCGAGAACACTACTTTCCTTCCACATTAATTTGAATGGTTTTAAATCAGACACATAAGTTATCACAACCATTATAGAAGAATGACCTAAATTTCTAAAGTTTCGGATTTAGGAAATGAATAAAATGAATGGGAGAAGTGAGTCTTATATAGGTTTACTATACCTAATGTCGTCATTCACGTTGTACCTCTGAAATGTCATATATTTTTACTTTTTCAATCACTCTTTGATATATATATATATTGCCATAACCTTAAAATGTGAATATATAGTATTTAGTATCATTAATTCACCTTGCATTTCATTCACGGCAATTAAATATTGTCCGAATCCACCATAGACGGTTTAATTCGGTATGTATCCACTTGATTGATATCGGTTTAATATTCTTAACCATAATATTATCATTTACCTCTACAACAATTGACCATTTTCTTTCTCTTGAAAACAAAAACTTACTTGCATGAGATTATGCTATCGTATTAATTTTGATTCCAATATGTATAAAATCAACAAAATCTTGCCTTAAGGATCATAAGCTATGACACAACATTGTTTTCTTCCTAGGATGTAGATAAAGAAATTATCATATCCTACATGCGTGTGAGTCTCTTTTTAAAAGATTGATTGAAGTTTTTTCGATTATATATATAAAAGACTGCCACCGATGATCAGGAAAAAAAAGTTTCTTCTGATTATATATATAACCAGCCTTGAACATGAGATAACTTTTGAACACATGTGAACCTACAAAAGACAAGACAACCAAACACTATATATAACAATATTAATAGTTGACCAAAATCTCGTACACACTACTCATCGTTTCAAAGAGTTTGTACTCATCTCCAAAGCATCATTACTAAGATTATGGACGCTTAAACCCGAGATCATCGAGTGACATGTACTTAGATATTTCTTCAAAGTAGCTCTAAACACTTAAAGAGTCTTATCAATTCTCCCTCACTTCGAATACATATCCACAAGAGCTGTTGCTAAACACCCAAAAATCTCAATCCCATTCTTGTCAATATAAACATGTACCCATTCACCTTGACTCAATAATCCAAGATTGGCATACGCAGATAAGACACCAACATAAGACACCAACGAAAGTAAAACCATATGTTTTCTCGGCAGAATTATTAAGCATCTCATTCACACCTGTAGCAACCAGCATGTGCATAAGCACTCATCATCGCGTTCCAAGAAACCACATCCTTCACAGAACTCCTACTCGGGGAACTGAAGAGCGAGAGCTCGAGGTAAGACTTGAGCAGTATCATGACCACGAACTCTCAGAGACTCTAACTACCTACTCCAGATTCAGCTCCTCCATCCACAACGCATACATGTCTTCGGTTTCTTAATCAGACGCTCCTCCACTTCTTCTCGCCAACTATTCCCTGATTTGCTCTTCCCTCGCTTTTTACAGAGCCATTGCCTCTCCCCGCCGCCAGCTGGTGGTTCTGCTCGATGACGCATGCGAAGATAGGGAGCTGCATTGATTTGATCGTCGTGTTGATCAGCAGAATTAAGCTGCAAGAACTCTTCCTTGCAGCTTCATCATCGTCTCAAAATTATAAGAAGAAGCGAAAACACAACTCTTTCTAGTTTCATCAGCTTGTTGTGTTGAAACTGAAGATTTCCAAGAATGATGGAGTTAGTGATTTTGTTATCTAAAAAAGCTGAGGTCCTTTGAATACGGGTGACATTAGAAACATATTTCAGTTATTTGTTTCGTCGAAGATTGACACAAAAGATAATAGCTAAGCTTCCTCTCACAAACCTTACACAAACACATATGCTTACTTGGCAACAACAACATACACTCATCTCTAACTCCACAAAATGTACAAAAATTATGTTAACGTCTTCGTTTTACTGTTTCTCCCATCGTTTTACGTCATCTTAACGTCATCGTGAACCAAGAAGCCGTGTCATCCACTTCGCCGTCTCCACATCATTCAGTGTTATCTCTTGGTCGACCATATTTGAGCTCGCTCCAGATTGTAGTTGAGAGCAGCGATCATGTTCACGATGTACTTTGCACGTTTTCGTCATGCCTCAGCTTTCATTGTTATTTGTTCGATACAAACCTCCAGTTCCTTACTTGAGGTTTTTCATCTCGAGTTCCTCGTCTTTGTCTCGCAGAGTTTCTGAACGACTCTTTCCTCCATGAGGGATACATTCTTCGATTGACTCATCTACTCTTTCCTCCATGAGGGATACATTCTTCGATTGACTCATCTAGATCTTCTCGAGGATCACATGGCGTAGTTGGTCTCTTTGTTAAAGATAAATCAAATCAATATATCTAAGAACGTAACATAATAGATGAATCATCGCAAGATAACTGTGAGAAATCATTAAAAAAAATTTATATGTAATGACACGTGATATGGAAACTTAGAAAATCTGTTTTATGAATTTGGCAATATTTTTTGTGAGAAGTTTTATGGAAACGACACGTCAGCATTGTCTCAAATTTAATGTGAACGCATTTAATGCAAAATACTTCTCTTTTAATATATAAGGGATTTGGAGTAATCATGTTTGTTACTCCATTTTGGATTGAATTTTGGAGTAAGGTTAGAGATGATTTTACTATAAAATGGAGTTTGGAGTGAGATTGGAGATGCTCACATTATATTGCTGGTTTGACTTTGTTAGATCTTGTAGATTTAAATATGTGGAGTCACATATCCTCTATCAAAGGAGGATAACAACTCTACTTTTGTAAAACGGATAAAGTATACAACAGAACCAATAGTGGACATAAGTCAGAAAGCACAAGACGGAAACTCAACTACAACTTTGGTTTGATTAATAAATTCGATTAAACTGTAACAAAATTTGAACCGGCGTGAATCACACAACAAACGGAGACATACAAGGGGAACACAAAGTAGTGATCTAAGACATAATAACACACATAAATAGACCGATACATTTATGTACAGCTGCAAAAGATGATGGAGAAGGGCGATGTTTCACCTCCAATAATAACAAATCCACGTTCCTCTCTTCATTTTAGGAAGAAGAATCGATGGCTTCGACTTGTTGTCGAGCAAGGTACTTCTCTCTTCTCTCCTTCTGATAGATGACACGAACTTTGGTTTAGTAAAAACTCGAATCCATAGGAGAAAGAAAGCTAGAAAAGAAAGAGCAGATCAAAGATCTTTTCTATATGCTGTATAATTTATGAATTACCCATTCGTCAATGACAAGACCCTCCCCGACAACACGAGGCCCTGTCTCTGGTAGAGGCTTCTTTCTTACTTCAACTGCAGCTTCAGCTTCAGCTTCATCCAATTGACGTTTCAGTTTCTCCAGTGCCTGATAATAATCCTCCTTAACGATATTTTATAGTACATATGAGAAAATCTACTTTAAAAAGCTTACAGCGGTTGGGCGGTCCGAATCAAGAAAAATGACCCGAAGAACCCGCTCCACGATTACTTGATCCTTCTGCTCATCAAACTACAAAATAAAAACAAGAGAGATGCATCATTTAAAAAACATGTTAAGAACAAGATAGATATGACTCAGAACACATCCTTTCTCTAAAACTCTACTACCTATCTACCAATTGCAGTGCATTTTCCTACAAGATTTATATAACCTGATAGATAGATAGATAAGAATAAGATACCAACTCAGGCACAAACTCTACACCAGGTTTCACTTTGAGGCTCATAATCTTAAACTTGGCCTTGCTCTTCTTGTTCAACTGCTGTTTCTCATTGTTCTCTGGGTGTTCCACGAACTTGAACACTGACATTGGTGAACGTTTACAAATATGAATCAGAGGCTGTAAAAATAAAACAAAACAAAGATAAAAGACATATCGCTAACTACAAAATCTGATTACCAGTTGCAAAGACGCTCTCCCCTGGAGCCAAAACACCACCAGGAGGACGCATGTAACAACTTTTAGGTGCAGTTGTTTGGAACTAGAAAAAAAAACAAAAAAACAAAGAAGACTTATTACCAAAACTGACTTAAAACAAAGTCAACGAAAAGTCAACTGCTTTGATGTTGAATTGAAACACATACATATATACAAAGTCCATTTACCTTGAATGCAGTATGAGATTTGGTAGTGTTCTTGAGCTTGATTGCGCTTCTCACTTGTTTACCAGGTTCATCTGCAAACACACACACAATTCTCAGAGTCAGAGAGAGAAAGGAAACTATTTTGAAAATAGAAATGGGGACGTACAAGGGAAATAGAGATAGCTTGAAGGATCTAGTCGGAGACGACGGCGAGCCGGCAGAATTGATCTCGCGACGGAAGAGACATTCAAGGCCGGCTTCGGAGCTGTAGAGACAGTCGTGTTCCCTTGTCCACGGCGGTTACGGTGATTTCGGCTTGGATTCTGAGCTGAGGACGGAGAAGAAGAAGAGGTGGTGGTGGTGCTTCTCCTCTGCCAGAACGGGCATAGTCTGAAGAGTTTCTTCTTGTCCTCCGCACTCTGATTCTGACGGTCAGTGATCGCCATCGAGAGTTAAAGATCAGTTTCCCGGTGACCTGAGAAGAGAAAGGACGAGTATCTTCTTTCTCTTTCTCTTTCTCTTTCTATGTGTGTGTCCGTAGGAAGAGAGACAAATTTTACAGTTTTGAAATAGTAAGAGAATCGACAAAGATAGGCGTTTTGTCTTGGAATTTTACGCCTGCTTTCGTCTGCGCGACAGTCACGAGTTTGTTTTTATAAATCGGATTTCAGATGATTTTATTTATTTATTTTTCTCTAAAGTTTCAGTAAAGTCCGTGCAAAATGTTAGTTGTGTGAAAACGAGTTTTGACAAACCAAGTCCACCAAAGGCCTGCCATTTTTTTATTTGCATTTCGAATATCCAAAAACTTTATAAATTAATGAAAGTTAATAGAACTGAATTGATTGTGTTTACTGATCGATGTACAAGAGTATATATACATTATTCATAACCGACTTGGTTAGATATACTTAACTAAATTACATCATTATCTCTAAACATTATCTCTAATTTTATGATCAATATCTCTAACTTCGGCCTTATCTCTAATATTCCCCCTCAAGTTGGAAAGGTGGAAGCTTCTAACTCCCAACTTGAACAACAAGCTCTCAAACTGAACCCTTCCAAGGGCCTTCGTCAAAACATCCGCTAACTGCTCATCAGTTCGAACATACACTGTCTCCAAAACTCCTTCTTGAATTGCATCCCTTACTTGATGACAATCAGACTCAATATGTTTAATTCTTTCGTGGAACACTGGATTAGTTGCTATATACATTGCAGACTTGCTATCACAAAACAATTTGGCTGGCTTCCTTTGCGGTGCTCCCAAGTCACGTAGTAACCTCCTAAGCCATTTTATTTCCCTTGTTGCTTGAGCCATAGACCTATACTCCGACTCTACTGACGAATGAAACACAACACTCTGCTTCTTGGTCTTCCAAGACACTGGTGAATCTCCAACCAGCGCCACATAAGCACTGAGCGAACACCTTGTAGTCGGACTCGCCGACCAGTCCGCATCGCAATACACTGTCAAACTCGTATCATCGTGTGTTCTCAACCAAATACCTTGACCAGCTGTCCCTTTTAGATAGCGCACTACTCTCATTGCTGCTTCCCACTGCATCTTGCGAGGCTTTTGCATAAATTGAGAGAGAATGTGGACTGCATACGAAATGTCTGGTCGCGTGATAGACAAATAAATCAGTTTACCGACCAACCTTCTATACCTCTCTGCATCACTCAAGAAAGAACTCGAATCTAATGCTAGCTTGTGTTGAATCTCCATTGGCGTAGCTACCGGTTTAGAACCTAACAACCCCACTCTGCAACCAAATCCAGAGTATACTTACGTTGTGTAAGTATGAAGCCTTCGTCTCCACGACCTACCTCTATGCCGAGGAAATACTTCAATCTTCCCAAATCTTTCATATGAAAGCATCTCCCCAAGTGTTCCTTAAACTTGGTTAAAAACTCAACATCATTCCCACAAATAAGTAAATCATCCACATAGATGAGTACTCTGAGCTCAACGCTTCTTTTAGAGTAAACAAACAACGAGTAGTCTGCATATGAGTGCACAAATCCAAAACCTTTAAGAGCATCTGTTAGTTTTGCAAACCAACACCTAGGAGCCTGTCTCAATCCATAAATTGCCTTGTGTAATCGGCAAACTTTGTTGGGATCAGATGCTTTGAATCCCTGCGGAAGCTTCATGTAGACTTCTTCTTTTAAATCTCCATGCAAGAAAGCATTATGTACATCCATCTGATGCACAATCCAGCCTTTCCCTGCCATTATACGAACAAACATCTGATTGTGGTCATCTTAGCTACAGGGGAAAATGTCTCCTTGAAGTCTCTCCCTTTTACCTGCCTATTACCCAAAGCCACAAGCCGTGATTTTGGTCTTTCGAAGGTCTCATCTGCATTATATTTGTACTTGTATACCCACATATTTCCAATGGCTTTCTTCCCCGGAGGCAGGTCTACCACACTGAACGTCTTGTTTGCTTCAAACGCAGCAATCTCCTTGCCCATTGATTCACGCCATATCTTCTGTTGTACGGCTTCTTTCACTTGTCGAGCATTGTAGGTCACATAATCGCGCAACCTTGTCGATGTTTTCTTCTCTCTACATCCTTTCCCCATTTCAGGTTCTGCAGTCGTACTCACTACCTCTGCTTCCTTAGTTTCTGTAGTCGTACTCCTGTTCTGTTTGTCAACTGTTTCCTTCTCACTATTATCCTTGACATTTTCTGCACTTGTGTCCATGACTGTCCCTGTATCTTTCGGCCCACAGTCACTCTCTTTGTTTCCAGCATCCCAGTCAATAATCCAATCGTCATCAGGACCACCGAAACTGCATCTCACCTCCTCACTGTTATCTTTCCTTGTCTCATACGAAAACACATTCTCTTCAAAACTGATGTCTCTTGAAATCAGAAACTCGTTGCTATCAATGTCATATACTCTTCAGGCTTTCTTTCCAAATGGATACCCTACAAAAACGCATCTCCTGCTGCGAGCTCCAAATTTATATTTACTCCTATCACGTCTATGTACGTGACACAACGATCCAAATACTCATAACGAATCATACACTGGCTTAACTCCAAACAACGCCTCATATGGAGACTTCCCTTTTAACACCTTACTTGATGTCATATTTATTACATGGGTTGCTGCAGTAATAGCTTCCCCCCAAAACTTCACCGGCATTTTAGCTTGAAACAACATTGCTCTTGCTACATTCAATATATGTCTGTGTTTCCTTTCCACTCTACCATTCTGTTGCGGTGTGTCAACACAACTAGTTTGGTGAATAATCCCTGCATCTCGAAAGTAATCTCCCAAACACATAAACTCCGTTCCATTGTCACTTCTCACTGTTTTAACCTCGTGACCAAACTGCTTCTCTGCATAAGTACAAAACCGTTTAAGAACCTTCTGAACCTCTGATTTTGCAAGCAATAAATGTGTCCACACTGCTCTAGTGAAGTCATCTACTATGGTAAGAAAGTATACAGCCCCACATGAAGCAGGGACTCTATAAGGACCCCAAACATCCACATGAATCAACTCAAAACTCTTGCTTGTTTTACTCAAACTATCATAAAAAACATCTCTTGTTTGCTTTGCTCGAAAACACACATCACAACGGCTAGAACAAGCATTATTTTTAACACCAGAAAGCTCAGATAAAGAAGACTGAAATTGCTGGATGTCCAAGTCTTCTATGCCACAAAATTTGATCCACAGTTCCACCAGCTTTATTAGCACGAACAACTCTAACATCTTTGAAATAGTAAACCCCATCACGTTCCTGACCGGCTCCAATCAGATTCTTCGAAGAACGGTCCTGCAAAACACATATAGCATCCGTGAAAAGAGCAAAACAGTTTGTATATCGTAAAAGCTTGGAGACTGATATAAGTGTGCAGTCTAAATTTGGCACAAACAGAACATCTCTGAGAGAGATACGCCCTGTTAAAATCATGTCTCCCATCTGAGTTGACGTAGACATTCCTCCATCTGCGAACCCAACTCTACACGCTAGAGTATTTCTCACGTTTACAAGCAAAGATACATCTCCTGTCATATGGTGCGAAGCACCGGAGTCGATAATAACATCTCCAACATGCTTACCAGAAAGTTTTTCTGACTGATTACTTGACCTTCCCTCATTGATAATTTGAGTGATGGCCCTCCATTGATCCGGCGTTAGATCACTATTGCCAGAACCATGTGAACTAGTCGCTTGAGCAGTATGCGCTGAACCACGACCGTTAGCTCCTCCACGTCCACCATAACCTCCACGTCCGTTTCCTCTTCCTGCTCCTCTACCTCTTCTCTCTACCATCCACTCAGGAAACCCAATAAGCTGCCAACAATTTCTTTTATCGTGTCCTGGCTTACCACAGTTTGAGCAGGTTCTATCCCTCGATTTGTTTCCATATCCCAAGTTATTACTTTCAGAACGTGATGCATAACCACTTGTATCACGATTCTCTCCTTTAGACTGAATCCTCGAACTCTCTTCTATTAAATTATCTTTTCTGCTGCTAGCAAACCCAATCGCTTCTTGCTGTACTACTTCACGAGTCTTTGTTGCATTCATTCTAGCTTCTTCTCTGATAACCTTGGCATAAGCTTTACCTAAATCAGGCAGCCCATCCGCTTCAATGATTGCAGTCACCACATTACTGAATTTAGAATCATCAAGACCCATTATAAACTGATGCACACGTTCTTCTTCCCTCTCCTTCTCATAAGCTTCTGCTGCCGAACAGCTACACACCGGAGGAGGTTTATAAGTCTGTAGCTCCTCCCACATCATGGGTAGACGACCGTAATAGTCTATCACGGCTTGTCCATTCTGTCTACAAGACGCCAGCTGTTCCTTTAGCTGATGAATACGCACCTTGTTCCCAACTTCAAACCGTTTTTTCAAATTTTCCCATAACTTGTGTGCTTCAGTGATGAATGTTACAGTAGATCTAACTCTTGGTTATATGGAAGATCTAATCCAACCTACTATCATTGAATTTACACTCAACCACGCCTCCAACTCGTTATTGTCTTCACTAGGTTTAGGTAACGTGCCGTCTACGAAACCCATCTTCTTCTTAGCTCGAATAGCATTAGCCATCTCCAAAGCCCATTCATTGTAATTATCACCCTTCAATTGAACTGATGTAATCAAGGCCCCTGGATTATCTGACGAAAACAAACTGTATGGAGAATTCCCCATGATCTCGTTCTGTTTACAAACCACCATTCTGCTTTCTTCACTCATATTTTTTTCTTCTTTTTTTCTTTTTCTGTTTTAGCGATTCGGAAGGATAGATTTACATTGATCTTCGCTCTGATACCATGAAAGTTAATAGAACTGAATTGCTTGTGTTTATTGATCGATGTACAAGAGTATATATACATTATTCATAACCGACTTGGTTAGATATACTTAACTAAATTACATCATTATCTCTAAACATTATCTC